ACTCCTGAGGCCATTGGTAACAACCTTGCAGACACGGAAGCCAAAAGAGTGGCCCTCTCCAGTCCTGGAGATCTAGTTGTACTAGCCGCCCTAGAGGTACCGATACCAGAACTGCCTACTCTGCCCCCCAAACCTGATTATTCTCCACAGGATCTAGAGTGGATAAAGAAGCGAGCACCGGAGGGGAGGACTGGGGAAGGAGGTTGGAGCCGGGACCAGGAAGGCAGGTTGATTCTACCAGAAATATTAGGGAAATACATGTTAACTAATTTACACAGATCTACCCACTTAGGTTGGAAGAAGTTGCTTACTCTTTTCCAAAATGCACAGCTGGTTTTCCCACATCAGACTAAAGCAGCAAGACTGATCACGGGAAGTTGCAACAGCTGTGCGAAATTTAGACCAGCCCCAAAGGCGCTCCACCGAACTGGTAGCCGGGAGAGGGGGAGGGCACCGGGAAGGTATTGGGAGATAGACTTCACTGAGGTAAAGCCAGGTAAATTTGGTTATAAGTACTTGTTAGTAATGGTGGATACCTTCTCGGGATGGGTAGAGGGCTTTCCCACTAAAAATGAAACTAGCCAGGTAGTAGCAAAAAAGCTAATTGAGGAAATAGTTCCCAGGTATGGAGTCCCTGAAGTCATAGGTTCTGATAACGGCCCGGCTTTCATTAGCAAAGTCCTGCAAGGACTAGCCCAGACTCTGGGAACAGATTGGAAACTACATTGTGCTTATAACCCACAGAGTTCTGGGCAGGTAGAAAGGATGAATCGGACTTTAAAGGAGACCCTTTCTAAATTGGTCGCTGAGACTGGCGATGACTGGGTGACTCTCCTTCCCTTAGCCATTTTCCGTGTCAGGAATTCCCCCTATGTGCATGGACTGACTCCCTTCGAGATAATGTTTGGAGCCCCGCCACCGATAACCAGGCGGGCATTGCCCCCGGGGGAAGAAGGATCAGCACCTGACTACCTGAGTGTATTACAATCTCTCACTAAAGTACAGCAGGAAATTTGGCCCCTAATCAGAGCTTACTATGGAGAAAGAAAGGTGCTTAATATAGAGCATGGTATCTCCCCAGAGAACACAGTCTAGGGAAAAAGACACAGAATAAAGACCCTTAAACCCAGGGGGAAGGGACCTCAT